AGGTGACAACTCCTGCTGTGAAAACAATCGGGCGCGCAAACTTTAAGCGGCCTGACTGATTTGATGAGAACCATGCGGCGTTTGGTGCATTTGTGTCGGACGGAGAAACCGAAGCAGATGGAATGGTACGCCGAACTCCGTCAACACAAGGAATTCTTTGACTCCTTGCAGGCGGTGTATGCACCGAGATCGGAGCCGCTGAGGACACTGATCGACTGGCGTACATTGAACGGCCTCAAGCAGCACGATGTGAAGGCGAGTCTGGCGGTTGCGCCGACACTGCATGAGACGCAGAAAGCGCTTGCTGAGCTGCGAAACGGCAAATGTGCCGGTGCCGACGGGATCCCGCCTAAAGTATTGAAACACGGCGGGCCCGCGATGGTGACTGCACTGCACCACTTCTTGCAACGCGTATGGATTGAGGAGGAGGTGCCTACTGAGCTGAAGGATGCCTTTGTGCTACCACTGTATAAGGGCAAAGGGAGCAAGCAATGTTACACGAATTATCGTGTTATCAATTTGCTGAGTTGTGTTTACAAGGTGATTGCCTTAATCTTGCTGTACCGCTTCGTCAGTTCGGTGGTAGAACCGAACTTTGCACTGACCCTTGTTGGAGATCAGCTACAAATCGTTCAGAAATCTAACTACCTGGGAAGTTGTATTAGCGCCGTTGGGATTGAAGATGAGATCACGAACCGTATTTCAACAACTCGAAGTGCTTTTGCTAGTCTTCGCCAAATATGGCGGCGGCGCGACATCCATCTTACCCTGAAGGGCAGAATGTACAGTGCAGTGGTACGTTCGACCTTACTGTACGTTTGCGAAACCTGGCCCCTTAGATCAGCGGACATACGGAGGCTGGTAAGGTTCGACCATCGGTGCCTTCTTAATTTAGCTCACATCTGGTGGGAACTCCGCGTGAGCAATGAGTGTGTTCGACGCCTTGTTTACGGTACTGGTAAAGGAACTGAACCGCTCAGCACTGTTATTTCACGCCCCATGCTCTGATGGCTCGGCCACGTGTTGCGCATGCCAGCCCACTGTCTTACGTGACTTGGGTTGTTCGCGCGCAGGGTGTGTGGTTGGGAGAAGAGGAAGGGTGATTAAGCAACGATTTGGTCGAGGGGAATGAAGGCCCTTACTTCGGAGCTGGCCTCGGTTGGAGCTTCACGGCTCCCTGGTTGGGGTTCGCAAGACTATGAACATGTTTGGCTAGAGACACTTGCTGACATGGCTAGGAGCCGACCTCACTGGCATTACTGCTTTGAGTTTCTTTGCCCATCTCCATCCCTCTTAGCCTCCCCCTCTAACCTCCATCTCATTTCGTTGCGGAATGTAGTTTTACCTAATTTTTCTTGTTGCCTAGTAGCCGGCTGGAAGCTTTCCGGAACGATGTCCATTCGTTGCTGGTAGCTCAGCGGGCATGCAACTGTTGTATTTGTTTTCTTTTTTCTTTTAAGTATTGAAGCACAGTAGCTGCGGTGGTTCTCACCTCTGGCGAACGTGTATAAGATTGATGTTGATGGGTTCCGTTCGTGTTGCACTACTACAGATATGGTGTTTGCTACTCGATAGTTGCAGGAGGAGTGTAGATAACGACACCAGCCTTTGTACTCGCTTTCCGTTGATTTCATTAAGGCAGTTTTATACGGTGGCTGGTGTTGGGTAAGTTTGGTTGCCCGCGTAAGTTTATAAGTTTAATTAAATGTCTGCACAGTGTTATGCGGGCGAGGGTGCAGCTGAGTGGAGAGACCTGGGATGACTTTGCAGTTGGCTCTGGTGTGAATCAAGGCTGTGTCTTAGCTCCTGTCTTGTTTAATATTTATCTTCATGCAATGATGTCGTGTGCTTTTTATGCCGCTTATGCTTACGGTGTTCGTGTGGAGCACCGTATTGATGATGGGTTGCTGAACATCCATCGTTTCGGTGCGAGAACCCTAGTCTGTGAGGCAACTACCCGTATGTTGCTGTTCGGTGACGACTGTGCGTTGTTTGCACAGAGCGCGAATGAGTTGCAGCATATGACTAGTGTTCTGGCATCGACAGCGGCCAAATTCGGGCTCACCATCAACACAAGCAAACCTGTCTGTCTTTTTCGGCCTTCACCGGAAGTGCAGTCTGCAAGATTACAGCATTGGCGATGACGTATTGAAAATCACCTCTCGCTTCTGTTACCTTGGGAGTGTGATGTCGACTGACCAGCAGCTACACAGTGAGCTTCGTACGCGATTCTCTATAGAAGCTGCGATATTCGGGAAGCTAGAGGACCGAGTGTGAAACAACCATCAGCTTACCATTGGGACGAAGCTGATGGTGTACAAATCCATAGTGCTGTCCGTTCTTCTATACGGCAAAGAAACGTGGACGACGTGCGATATCTCGAGCGTTTCCATCAACAGTGTTTGCGACGGGTTCTGCACATTGGTTGGGACGACCGGATTGCGGACACGGAAGTGTTGCGCCGAAGTGAAATAATACTGAGACACCTGAGGTGGCTCGGTCATGTGGGGCGTATGGATTCGACGCGGATACCGAAGCAGCTATTATATGGTCAGCTGAGTATTGGGAAGCTGCATGTGGGGAAACCAAAGTTACGTTACCAGGACATGATCAAATTGAGCCTCTCACGTTGTAATCTTGATTGCCGGTCATGGGATTCGAAGGCGGTTGATCGGCGTGCATGGCGTGATCTAATCACGAAGACCGTTGCCTAGGTGCAAGATAAATCCCTCGTGCATGCAGAGAAGAAGTGGCAATCGCGAAAGTGACTGGCGCCGATGTGTTGTACTCCATGGACACCGAGTGCATGGTGCTGTAGCACATGCGGTCGCGAGTGCCTGAGTGAGGCAAGCCTAGTGAACCATGAGCGAGGCCACTCGGGGCCAACACCGAAGCGATGACGAGTCCTGATGAGAGCGTAGTCATAACGGGCGCAGCATTTGTAGGTACGCTTAATTCGATTTACTAATCGCGTACGTGCATGCTGGATCTCTTTATTTCAGGTGATAGGTTTGCTATATTATCCTAATGCTTTTTTTATCTCCTATTAATGCAACTGATTTGCCTTTTATAAATTTACGCATGTCCCTTAAACTACATTACTTAACTTCGATTGCATTTTCGCGTATGTGGCATTTAAAAAAAATATACTTTCTGACGTCTTGGACTTATCACGGATTTGTTCTTAATCAATTTCCTTCATACTCCCATTTATTGGAGAGTTATGCCGCCGTACCTGTATGCATTATCCAAAATGTTTTATTTTGTCGTTTCAAGTGATTGGCTGTTGTTTGATATCCCCGGTGTGGCTGCGCTTGATGTGTATGTTGACAGGGTGCCTACCTGTCTTTTACCCACTACCTCGTCCACACTGGCTCCAGGAGACAGTTGGTCGTTGCTGGAGGGGATGGGATGCACGGTCCTTGTGGCCGTGTTAGGATCAAAGAGTGGTTCCATGCACTCAGTGTGGAGCGGACTACGGTCCAACCACCGCATTGTGTGCGATTGATTCCCAAGTACAGCGTGCTTGTGTATGCCTGTGAAGGAGTGTGTGCCGGCTCCGTTGATGAAACGTGGCTCTCATCCACATGCGTCCCGGTCTTATTCCTTTGGGTTTACACTGGATATGGGGTGTGTGGTTGGATCTGTGGGTGGTGCAGTGCAAGCCACCCATGGTCCCTCTGTAGGCGCAGGCGTCTTGTGGCTGGCCACAGTGAAAGTCAAATCCGGAACCGGATGCCGTTTTAGATCGAGTACTGTATGTTGGTGCAGTGTTATTTTTGCCACTGCTGATGCTGTCTCAAAGGGTCCAGCTATAGAATACGAACCTTGCTGGGGTTGCTTTTCGGTAACTCCAGTGTCCTATAATAGTTGTAACCGTTTCTACCCTTACCCGAGCGAGAGTGATAGCTTTTGTGTATATTCGCCTGTTGACATCAAGTTCATATTAAGTGTGCGGTTAACTCAACTTCTTATCTTTAAACGCCGTTTCTAACATTCCCGCCATACCACGGATGACCGACGGCATTTGTCTTTCGGGGCATTTAAGACCTTTTTTCATTTCCATTGAGCTAAATGAAGGATCTAAAGCGAATCGAAAAGTGCTTGTTCTCCTGACCTGTGATTTTGCTGTTCCCATGCTATCCTTGCCGGCCGGATTACGTTCATCACATGATTGATAAGCACTGTATGCCGAGATTTCATTTGATTGGTATAGATCTTAATTCCGTTACATGATTACGTGGCGCTAAACCAGTGAGATCGCCAAGGAGCGTGGACTCGTACTGTCCCTTTTCCCTCTCGTACTTTGCGAAACATTCGAAGAGTACATGTCAGCTTGATTCTCTTTCAGGTATTTTTTCGTTTGCTTCTGATCCGTGTTTGCTCATTATCTTTTCTCTCACTTCTTCCATTCTCCTCATTAATTTATGTTATCTGCGTGTGATGCTTGCTTTGTAGCTTCGTTCACTTCATCTTGCCTCCCAAACCGCACTTTCCGAACCCGGTCGAATTCCTATTTTTCACGACGGTGCCCATTTTAAACTTATGTTATAAATGGCTTTCAGCAACAGTTACTGACGTCGCATTACTAGCATCCCCCAACCTCTTCATGTTATCTTCCAGCTTATTCTGAATGGGTAGTACAGAATTACTATATGCTTGCACGTAACTTGGATGCAAACCGCGGATAGAGTCAGCAGAATCCGCCAGCACCTTTTTCTAATACAACACGGTCCCAATGAAAATGTCACCATTTCGTTGTACCTGCTACTACCCTTTTCACTCCTTTTATTTTAAATTGTTTTTCTCCATTTTCCCAGTTGTTAATTGTTGCTGCAATTTTTGGCCATATGGTCCCACGTAGCCGGATCCATCTCCTTTTGGTATTCGGATTAACATGCGTTCTCAACTATCCTACCTTTTCTTATACACAATCAGATGCTCCTTTGAGCACAGCATGCATACTTATGTTGTTTTTGCTTGGTCGCAAACTTTCGCAGCTTTGAAATCATCCCTCTGGACGAGGAAGTCGAATTGGGCAATCCTCATGAACAACAAACCCGCAAGAACCAGACGAGTGTGAAGCAGTCTCTTTCACAGTCTGACGATGAGATGGATGAACTCGATGATGACGAGGAAGCACTCGAGGAGGTAATTGCATCTCAACGGACCACACTTATGGTAGGTCTATTTACTAGATTTCCTCGCGCCATCAGTTGCAATTATTTTACCGGAATTCTCCATTCTGTCAACTTTCTCCATTTGTCATATAAAATACAATTGTCATGGAACCCTTGGTTGAACTAATGATTGTCCTGGGGTTAGCGTTTTATTGCTGACATTTGTGACTGCGACCACGAGATGGAATAAAAAAAACATGGCATCGGATACTGTATTGATATCCGGCAGAGTGACTCGAACAATCTTCTTTTCTATATCTTAGAACTTTGCTTTTTCTTGATGACCACTCTTTTTCTTTTGTATGATAAACCATCATTTCCTGATGTCGTTTTGGAATCCCTTTACAACCCGGGGTGTTTGGATGTCTATATATCGGTTTTAAACCTAGTTTTACAGACCATTGCTTCACTCGTTTCTCGAACCCATAGTTGTTGTGTTAGTGTTTTCTATTCGGCGCACCTCTACGCATTGTTCTTATGCATATTCTATTGATCCGTCATTTCATTCAGGTCGCTCCACTTTAAAAAGCCTTAAATTGCTTGAGTAGTAAATGGACATTTGCGATCTGGAAACTTGTTTACTGTCGCCTCAGTTGTTATCGTCTCCAATACATATCTTTGTGTTTACACCGGTACTGTTTTTGTTCACATTTCGCCAGGTTCCAATCCATGCGGTGCCTTTATACTCTTTGCTTCCACCGGAACGCCAACAATTGGTATTTGAACCGCCACCGGAGGGCCACCGTTTGGTCGTTGTATCGACTAACATTGCGGAGACGTCACTGACTATCCCAAACATTCGATACGTCGTTGATACTGGCAAGGTACGTTGATGTGTACGTCTATGACAGCCTGTTGCTTCTTCATCTTTTGGAGGCCTTGCCGTTTTGGCTGCTGCTTAAGATAACAACGGGGCAATTGGTCTCTATTCAACGTACTGTTAAAAATGGCGTTGTTTTTAATCTCCCGCACTTATTATTGAGTTCCATCACGAGGTTTTTCAATCTTACTCCATCCTTCGATGATGTTTGACCATTTAATGCTCTCCTCCATACTTAGTTTGCTCTAGCGTTTCACTTTTACCGGTAGATTATTTTTGCAATATACCCACCGCTGTTACTTAGTTTGACTGCCGGTATTGAACTACGTGGACTTACCTCTACCTGAGGCCCCCTGATGAGACGATCCGCTGTTAGCATTCCCATTACTGAAAAATTTTGAACTACACTTAGTTAACTAGCTGTTACATGTCGACCCGTAGCCTAGAGGTAACGAGCTTGTCTCGTAATCTTGCGGCGCGGGTTCGAATCCGCTTAGGGGTGGGCGTCCTCGCGGTATACTCAGCCGGCGTGCGACTGGTGGTGGTCGCACGGCAGTGAAGCGCCGCTACGGCGTACAGCTGGCACATTATTATTATTATTATTATTATTATTATTATTATTATTATTATTTTAACTGTTACATTCAAGTCAGTGTTAGTTCGTCATTACATCCTCTCAAGCACTGTGGCACTGCCAGTTGCTATTGATGAAACGTTAAAGGTACTCCGGGAATTGCCGCTAGTGCCTCTGCTGAGTAAGACGGAGATTCACAGCAGGACTGCGAGACGACAGTATTCAACGCGGTCAAACATATGCTATGCATATCGACCTGTTTCCTGCTGCTATACGCATTCGCAACTCGCAAGCGACCTGATCGGCTCCTGAAACCGCGGTTTTGCTCAACGGACGACAAATCACTCGTTCGCATCATAGGCCAGCTGGAGCGATTACTGAATTTAACCGTTTTTAACTGAGAGGCTCACCTGTGTTTTAGCGAATGTGCCACTGCAATGAAACCGGATCCTAACATGGTACGACGGTTCGAAATGCCGTAAACATAGTGAACTCACTTGGAACCTCATCGCTTTTAAATTGCTTGCCTTTGCCATCCTTCACAGACTGATTGGCACTCGTGAAAGCCAGACTCAGGAACAGCAAGCCGGGTTTCGTCAAACTCGTAGCTGCATCGATCACATCTCCACTTTGCGTCAGCTGTTGGAGCACCGTTACATAAATTGTCGGCCTACCGTTCTCGTGTTCCTCGACATCGAAAGTGTCTTCGATTCGGTTGATCGATGTGTCCTTTAGGGTTGTCTACTCAGGTAACATGTGCCCGAGAAATATGTAAATACTATTCAAGCATTATACGCGCATAGCTCAGCTAGAGTGAGGGCTTACGGCAAGCTGTCACCGCCCCTCAATATCTCCAGCGTTGTGAGACAAGGATGCCCGCTCCCACCTTTCTTCTTTAACTTTGCGATTGACAAAGTAATGGAAATCGCGTTCACAGGATACGACTTAGAAGGTGTGGATATGCTCCGAGGAGAACGACTTCTTGACTTAGAATATGCTGATGATATTGCCCTCATCCGTGACAACTCACAAACGTGCCAAGTTTCTCTGTGGACAGAATAGCACTGCCTGTCAACCGTTTCAGGGTTAGCTTTGCACCATCGATGTGCAACGATCTCTGAGATTGGCTTGGATCACCTCCTGCGCTGACCGTTGGTGTTGATCGGCTAGAAGTTGTACAAAAATTCAACTACCTGTGAAGTTGTATCAGCGCCCTTGGGATCGTAGATGTGATCATGGACCGTATAGCAAAAGCTCGAGGCGCTATTGCTAACTCGTACTAGTTAGAGGCCAAATGAACTCCGTTTTTCGGTCTTCCAGGTCAGTTGTTCGGATGAGAATGTCTCCTTATCCCCTAAAATAGGTCTTGTAACACATTGCGGGAAGCTTTTTGAACCATAGGACTTGCTTGAGAACCCTAATCGTTCTGTTTAGGCTTGAGTAACCGGACAATGTCCTACTCCTGCAGTAAAGTGAAAACTTCCTCAAACCATTTCTCGATGCTCTGTCCGTTCCGAGGGATAATCAACGGCTCCCTATCTGCTACATCTATCCGGGTAGATAGAGATGAGAGTACCAATACCCTGGCCCTCCCATCTTATGGTTCCACCTTTTAAGCTTATTAAAACCCATCCTCCGTTTCCAACATCGTCTTTGTACCCCGTTTATTCTTCTAAGCTCGACTCACACGGAATCGTAGTGCTTCGCTTCTACTCTATTGACAATTCCATGTTCAGTCAAATGGAAAACCGCAGTTCCTTCGTTTCTGTTTGAAACACATGATCCTCTCAAAGACTGGTGAGTCTCTACGTGCGCACTTTGCAGTTCTGTCAACGAGCACAATTTACTTGAATCTTAGGGACCACGTCGATCGATATCTGCTTTTTATCTGAAATCCATTTGTAAGGTTCGAGCTCTGTACTAGGTTACGTTCCCCATTATGTGGCGTTAGCGACTTTTTCTCATTGTTTTATCCGGACAAGGAGGTGTAGGCTTTGTTCTGGGCCCCCGCACTGAAGCAGCTCTTGTCGACTGGATTCCACTCAGCAGCCGGATGTATGTAGTCATTCAAAACTTTAAATTCATTGCTGCCTACGTCATCACAAACTGCATCCCCGACTCCTTGAAAGATTGCTTCTACCGTCTATAATACTAGCTTCTCACGGAAGAGGTGTAAATACTCTAGTGTTGGCTGCTGATTCGGACGTCCATATTGGAAGATCGTCCAATAATGTGCTCTATCTGGACGGCCAACACGGTCTAGGTCTCCGTGATAATAACCATCGTTGTTTTTTCCACACGTGTGAAGGTTCTCATCTACTTCTGGCTCGGAATGTGCACCTGTATGTGGTTATCTCCCGGTAATTCTTGGCTAACGTCCACGACAACGCTGTAAGCGCATAGACACTAACTAGTTGGCGGAACCTGAACTCCCGCAAGCTTATTGAAGTACACTGGAATTCTGACCGATTAAGTGCTCATTAGACTCATTTGACGATCACTTCACTTTTTCTCAACCAATTGAATCCATAGCGTTTTCATATTCCTCCCTTAGGAAATCACGTTTCCCCATAGATCTTTCAAGATAGTCCATAGCGCAAATACTTCTAAAAATTACGTGCTGTTCGCTGAGTGTCCGATCTCAAATAAGCAGATATTATAACAGATAAGCACACAGAGTGGGATGATATTGTCTTATTTGGGGCGTTCGTGTCCGCTGGATTCAACTCGAAAGCGTTATGGACCATCTTGAAACTTCTATGGAAGGATATAATTCCCTATAGGAGGAATTTGAAAGCGCTATGGAATCAATTGACTGAGAAAAGTTATAGTCACAAATTCATCAGACGTTATTAACACCAAGGGTGTGGCAAATCTAATTGATGGTCTAAGCAATGGAAATCACAGGTTCTTGCCGACGCATTCCGATTGACAGCGAATAGTACAAGTTTTGCTAAGATCTTAGGACAACTTTGCCTACTGAAGCAATTATGAAGTCAAGTGGCCTCATGATTCATCATGGATTAAGATAGCTACCTTTCAGTAACTGCCGCAAATTATTCCTTCTCATACTAGAAACGGGCAGCAGAAGACCGTGTCAGCGTAACAACGTCCCTCCACAACTTGACAAAACGCTTGGAGTGGTGAGTTGAACACTTTGAAAAATCTTATTCGGCGGGAGTTACCAGCTTCTTTGTCTGCCAGTAATCACCCTGCTCTTTCCTTTCGGTTCTACCGTCGCGTTCAAAGTTAAACGTAAGATCGGTCTGGCTGAACTCGAATAAGGCCACAGGACCAACCGGACTTCCTGCTGCCTTCTTCATCTCCGGAGAACCAGATATTTTGGTCGATTTATTAGTACAACTAGGGGGTATGAAGCTGTTCCAATAGACTAGGGCTGTTCTGTTATAGTTTTGATTTTCAAGGGCGGATAAACGTTCGGAATGCAGCAATTATAGAGCTGTCGGTCTGATCTACATCGCTGCTGGTCTCTGTCGTTCTTCATAGGCTGACTGACGCTCCTAAAGACCAGATTCGTGAAGTGCAAGCCAGGTTTCGGCGAAATCGTTGCTGCATTGATCACTATTTTTACCTCAATAGTTTGAGGTGTTGTTACTTGTATTTGTGACCTCTTAGGTGTGTTTCTTAATATCAAAAGACACTCGACACGGTGGATCGGTGTGCCCTTTGAAACTATTTGATTAGGAAAGGTATGTTCAAGAAATACACAATTATTTGGTTTTCGCGGAATCCCTTGGCTTTTCTAACACACTTTAAACGGGCAATAATATTGACAACGTAACATCCAATGTTATTAACGACGTACTGCTAACATTCAGGCGAGTTGGCGATGCCTCTCTCTTAGAACGAGCTGGGCTGTCACATTGGGCAAGGTGCATTTCGATATAGTTGCGGTCATCGAATCTCTCGTCCTTTGTGTGATTTTGTAGCTAGCAGCAAATGTACTCAGTAGGAGCAAGGTCCGGGCTATATGCCTGATGCAAGGGTTTCAATACCGAGCTGCTGACTCTTGAGACGCGTCATCTTTGATACAAGTGAACGTGTATTAGCATGCAGGAGAAGGATACGAACCGCTCCTGGGCGTTTTTTTGCAGTTGCTAACAGTAGACATCGGGAGTAACCATGAAATTGTCATGTAACAGTTCCCAATATATGACGCAGCGGCAATCCCATCAGACCGACAGCACTACTTTCTTTCCTTGCAGTTCGCTTTTCGGCTTCTACTGGCATTCTGTCTACTGTGATCCATTGACGATGCTTGCTGTGATGGTTGACATGGAAAATCCAATTTTCTTCTCCAGCAACAACATCGTTCAGTCATCGATGATTGCGCTTTCGGATGAGCAATGAATGTGCGAAAGTACGGCGGTTCAAATCAGTCATCAACAACAGGAGTACATCAGCCATTT